AGCCCAAACCAGTACTCCACCTCCACCTTGCTGGCGTCTGAGTCGGACTGGAGCTCTCTGCCCTTTACCAATCCAGCCACGGGCCCATCCATCTGGCCCATCAAGACTCACTCTCATTTCATCAGTCCATAAAACCTTAGAAAAATCAGTCTTGAGATATTTCTTGGCCCAGTCTTGACGTTTCAGCTTGTGTGTCTTGTTCAGTGGTGGTCGTCTTTCAGCCTTTCTTACCTTGGCCATGTCTCTGAGTATTGCACACCTTGTGCTTTTGGGCACTCCAGTGATGTTGCAGCTCTGAAATATGGCCAAACTGGTGGCAAGTGGCATCTTGGCAGCTGCACGCTTGACTTTTCTCAGTTCATGGGCAGTTATTTTGCGCCTTGGTTTTTCCACACGCTTCTTGCGACCCTGTTGACTATTTTGAATGAAACGCTTGATTGTTCGATGATCACGCTTCAGAAGCTTTGCAATTTTGAGACTGCTGCATCCCTCTGCAAGATATCTCACTATTTTTGACTTTTCTGAGCCCGTCAAGTCCTTCTTTTGACCCATTTTGCCAAAGAAAAGGACGTTGCCTAATAATTATGCACACCTGATATAGGGTGTTGATGTCATTAGACCACACCCCTTCTCATTACAGAGATGCACATCACCTAATATGCTTAATTGGTAGTAGGCTTTCGAGCCTATACAGCTTGGAGTAAGACAACATGCATGGAGATGATGATGTGGACAAAATACTCATTTGCCTAATAATTCTGCACTCCCTGTATTCTGTTTGATGTTTCAGCCGTCTAATGTGCAGTCAGCAGCTTTTGAAACAACCAGCACTGAGCATTCATGCTACAGTAAAATGACCAGTTTTAAAATGTTTATATTTTTAACAAATCTAAGTAATATTTTGCAGCATTAACTTCCTGTCTTACAAGATATGACAGTGTTGCAGTTTCCGGTAAATTTCAACATTTCTATTATCACCATTTTCCCATCATCTGATAACTTTTTTTTTTCTTTTTTTTTTTTAAATTTGAACATGCAGACAGTCTGAAGAGGAAAGCCCAGCTTATAAGATGAAGTTGATATCCGCCGTTGCATGTTATCTCCAATGAGGGTTTTAGACTTTGCTGAGCCAGCTAACATTGTGTTGAGCTAACCTTTATGTACCCGTCTACAACCTAGACCAGAGTTGCTGCAACAGATTTACTATTATTTCTCAATTTGTGTGAGTAGCAAGCTCTTATTAGTGCATCAGTTTGATATTTTGGGAAATGACACAAAAAGTCTGGCCATTAAACTGTCCTACATACAAAAAAGTGTTAAATCTTATTTTTACACTTTACATCAGATGAGACAACACGATTTGTTGGTGAGCATTAGCAGTGTGCCTTTAGCTTCACTTTTACAGTACAGAAGTATTATCAACTTAGTGGTATTTTTTTAGTTACCTAATTCTGAAAATGCTGTCAGTTTCCTTTTAGGCAGCAAGTTTTTATTTTTATTATTTGTCTACCAGATATTCACTCTCGCCAACTTGAGGCAGACTATTCAGTAACTTCTCACTGACTAGTCACTTACTTTGTGTGTCCTCTGTATAACCTTGGTCACATAGCAGCATGTCTGTTGTGCCTAAAACGGTGTAGAAAATGCGATGAGCACTTCAGTTGTGGCACATCATGTGACAGCAGCTGCTTAGTGCAGCTTAAGATCCACTTTGCACTGAAGCGTTGTGGTTTTGTGCTTTTTTTGAAATAGGAAAATACAAATTCGCAGAACTGTCAGCCGTAGTGCTCAAGGTGCCTTCTGAAATCAAGGTATGTTTGCAGGTGAAACTTAAATGGCAGTTGGACATCTAATTATGACTTAAGAGCTCGTCTTTTTATTAATATCTTTGGCTCAATGCACATGTAAACATTTCGATGTCAATTGCAGACTAATGTTGGGCTTTTACAAACAGAGTTGGCCAATGTGATTATGAATTTAAAATAAGGAGTGGACTTGTCCACTTAGTACAATGGGTAAAATTAAAGTATGACTTTAAAAGTTCTCGTTGTTAGATTTGTGTTTTTTTTTTTTTTATTTTTTTTTTTTAAAGCTGCAGCTGCTGGTCGTATGTAGTCGAGGTAGTATTGCATTCATAAAGGGAATAGCATCCTTCTTACCTTCCTGTTGCTCGCCACAAATTTGTGATGTTGTTCGGTGAGTTTCAGACACATTCCCATGCACACCACTGTTTCACTACTTTTAACCATTTGGATCCTTCCACATTCTGTCACCACAGGGATAGAATGTGGAAAGGCTTTTTTTTTCTTTTTTAATTTCCTCACCTGTTTTAATTTGTTGCCTCGATCAAAAATTGAACCCTCTTTCCTGCAGTGGTCTCATCCATCACTTCATTTCCAACCTGTGACGTTTGCACTCCCGCTGCATTTCTCACATTTTTAATTTGGCATTTCTTTCCACACATCCTTGGTAGGAGAACGGGTCACTAAGGGTGTGTGTGTGTGTGTGTGTGTGTGTGTGTGTGTGTGTGTGTGTGTGTGTGTGTGTGTGTGTGTGTGTTTGGATTAAGATTGAGTTACATAGCTGGATTGTGTAATTGTGAGGTGTGTCTCTTCTGCAGGGAGCAGCTCTGCTGTTTCCATTGTTGGGAGAGTTGAACTTGGAACTGACGGCACTGCGGTGTTGTCGTGCAGTGCTGCGTTTCACAGGAGAGTGGAGACTGTGCGAGGTTGTGCTGCTGACTCAACAATAAGAGCACACTGTGCAGCATGTACAGGTTTACCCTAAATAAGGGATTAGTCAGTTGTTGGCTGCGTTTTGATCTGGGCTGTGTTTGGTTTCAGTTACAATCATTTAAAGCCTTGCCTGTTCTTGTTGTGACATGTCAGATAGGAGTTACTCAGTCGTAGTATATGAACGTAGTGTATAACGTTGCTTTTCTTACAAATCAAGGTTTTCTGGCTTGCACAGGGCAAAGTTACTTACGATGTGATTCTGTGGTAAATGTATAGATCCTTATTTCTATTTTTTGCCAAAAAAAGCTAACAACCTTTTCGTTGGGGCTTCAAACCTTAACCTTAAAGCTTACGTGCTGGAGACGGTTCAGTAGCTAAGGATGCGTTAGATAAGTTGATTAATCAGATAGTTAATGCAAGAAATGCCACTCACGTATTTCAACAAAGCTGATTAGATGTGCACGTAGTCTGAGATGTTCTGAACAACAACAACAAAAAAGTGATGCGACTCGCTTCCAGCAATTACTTCTCTGATAATGTAAATTGATTTCAGTTCAATTGAACAGGAAAATAGTTGCTGTGCACTCAAACTTATTTTCTGCAGCACGACACTGAAGCATCAGAGGACTGAAAGGGGAGGTGACCTGTTTATCCACAGCTTGCGTGGGGGCAAATCTTGCATACTGCTTTATCTTTGTTGGCTGGGTCAACTTTATTATCGCAGCTTAGCCCTGTTTGGGAACAGCGTTATCTTTCTAGGATTATAAAATAAGTGTGTGTTCGGAAACTGGCCTCTGAGTGCATGCTTTGTAGTGCATTGTAATAAGTCATGTCAACATGTCTGCATTAGTTTAACAGGAAGAAGAGCCTCTGTATTTTTGATAATATTGGAACGTCACATGTCAGGATAATCTATTTAGATGCTGCCTTCAGTACATAGATTTGATGAAGGTTAGTGGCGTTAATAAAGTGCTCATTTGTATTGGTGCAAAGTCAGTTTGAACTTGCTGCCCTACCTTTTCACTGTGAAAGAATATAACGGCAAAAAGCAGGATGTTTTCTTTTCTTTAAACGCTCAGTAGGGGTGTTTAGTTTATTTAGGTGATTTTAATGAATTATTTATTGATACCTTACAATTTTCATTCCATATTAGGTATCACATTTTGTTTGGCCACTAGATACAAAAAGCTTTTCTGGTGATTTAACCCCAACCTGGGGGGGGGGGGGGGAGTCCAGTGCTTTTACCGCTATAGTGCTGTATATCTCTGTACAAGGGCGTCTAGAAATGGTTTGTTCGCACTGGTGTTTGACTCTGTTAAGACAGCGCAAATGCATAGATGTTCTGACTGTAATTTGAGCTTGACCTGTGATGGACGGCAACACCGGGATAAGCTACAAGGGACAAAAGCCACAGCTATTTTGCATGATAAACATATTTGTCACTGTTTTCCAGTAATAGTCTGATTTATAGCCATAGTAAAATGCCCCTGTTAACATCTATAATTGTCCTTTGTGCAGAGCAGACCAAAGTAAAGTAGTTTGGCCATAATGCACAGAACCACATATGGATAAAAACCAAACATGTATTTGCTCAAACGTGGTGGTGGTGGAGTTGTGTTGATTTATTTATTTTTTTTAGATGTGGACACCTTGCAGTTCCTGAGTTGACCACGTACTCATCAGTATACCAAAGTATTCTAGAGTCAAATGTGAGGTCATATGACAGCCAGCACTGAGTGATGCAACCGCACAATGATCCCAAGCACAGCCGGTTACTGTTGTTGGAAAAGGAAAAAAGAATCGAGGTGTCGCAATGGTTCAGTCAAAGTCCAGACCTCAACCTGACCGGGAATTAAAGAGAGCGGAAATGACTGCCTGCAAGCTGCAATGAACTGAAACAACCATGTAAAGAAATTCCTACACTGTGATGTGAGAGACTAATAAAGTAAAATGGCAAATCATGACTTTAAGTTATAAGGTCTACTTAGTATTTACCTCATCTTTAGACCTGGTAAATACTTGGTTACTTTGTCATCCAAATATTGCTTTACTTCCTTCTTACCTTAATCTTGTCAAACTATATTATTTTAAATGTTTATTCTCTAAATGCTAAAAATTTTAAGTTAAATATTTGCTGTCTATGTTGGATATCATTTCACTATGACCAGTTTCTGTAGTTTGTTAATAAATGCTTATCACTGATTTTGAACTGTTATGCATAATTTAATGTTTGCTCAAACTTACTACTTTTTCTCCAAAATGTAGATGTGCATCCAGAGAAGTCCCCAGGCTTTCAGACGTCTGGATAACTCCAGTCCTCACCTGCACAGCTAATGGCATGCCGATCTCCAAACCTCCCAATGTGGCAAGTGTCAGTGGTGCCCTAATCCTCCTCCTTCTACTCTGCGTCTGCAACACCACCCTACTCTTTCTACTCATCAACGTTTTTCTCATCCCACACCCCGCTCACGCCTCAGGATGGGTAACATAACCGGTACCTGCCATGACAATGAGACCATCGACTTTTTCTACAACAACAGTGGAAAAGCCATTAATACTCAATGGAAAAAGCGTGACGTTCTTATTGTCACGCTGGGCTTGATTGTTTGCTTCATTGTTATTTTTTCCAACTTTTTGGTAGTAGCGGCCATTTTCAAAAACAGACGGTTTCACTTTCCCATCTACTACTTGTTGGGTAATATGGCTTTGGCAGACCTTTTTGCAGGTAAATTTTTTTCCATTTATTTTTGTAAAACCATTTGTGAAATAACTTAAGTTCACAGAAAACCCTTCACAAAGAGAAAGTAGAGCAAAATAGAAACACATTCTCACAGTTGTTTCCATTGAAAAGCAACAGTGATCTCTTAAACGCAAACCATGAATGCCAAGTTGGGGATTCTTGGACAGTCAGGCAACCTTTTGAGTTTGATTTAATAGTACTCCTGACTATTTCAACTAAGTTTGTACTGATCACAGCGATAGCATGTTACCGCGATGAGTCTCTGACATCCTCATATTTCATGTAAAGATTGTTCATTGTCCTGCTCTGGTAACAACGATAGACTCTACTCAGAATGTAACAGTGTAAATAGTTTACCTCTGTTTAAAAGATCTCCTCACTTTCCTCCTCCTAGGTTTTGCGTATCTCCACATGATGTTTCATACTGGTCCCTGGACTATAAAGCTATCACCGAACCAGTGGTTTACTCGTCAGGGGTTGATAAATACTAGCCTGACAGCCTCGGTCCTCAACCTCCTATTCGTGGCTGTGGAGCGCCACCAGACTATCTTCAACGTCCAGCTACACAGCAGCATGAGCACTCGGCGTGTTTTCATAGTCATGGTGTTAATTTGGCTGGTGGCAATAATCATGGGCCTCGTTCCCCAAATGGGTTGGAACTGCACGTGCCATCTAAGTGAATGCTCCACCATGGCACCGCTATACCACCGCAGCTTCCTGATATTCTGGGCCGTTCTTAACTTGATGACCTTCTCCATCATGGTGGCCGTATATACCCGGATCTTTCTTTATGTGAGGCACAAGGGCAGGCAGATGTCACAGCACACTTCGACGACAAGACAGAGAGAAACCATGATGAACCTGATGAAGACAGTCTCCATGATCCTGGGTAAGGGAGTGCACACAATACATATCAAGTCAAATAGTTATGTTTGGGAGATAACTTTGCGTTTTTAGCTTCATTTAAAAACATCACGCTAACAGAAAAGCTTTTGAAGAACCCAAAATGATGATAAAGCGTGTGCCGACCTCAGTACGGCAGCCAGGCCGGTTCCTGTTACCTGTTCACTGCTTTTGAACAGGTAAAAAAAGCAGCGATGAGCAGTCGGGCTGCATCCTCCATTTCTACCTGTTCATGTTTCTACAGTAGAATCACCATGGAGATCACTTTAAAATATCTTTGAACTGGTTTTCAGATTTTCTTTGTGTTGCTTATTTTGTGAAAACACTTAAAGAAAGCTCTTACATGTGTACTCATTAGGACAGGGATTTGTGTCAGTGCATTGCACTGTAGCCTAAGGTTTGTTAACTGGTAATTATGAGAATGCATTATGGACTAACATGAAAATAATAATAACAAGTTTTAGACTGCTCTCTGGCAAGTAATTACCGTAATATATATTGTAGAGTGTCTACCTTACAATATGAAATGAAACGCCTTGAAGGTGACTGTGATTTGGTGCTATATAAATACATTGAATTACTTTTGAGAAAATAATGGGGTGTGTGTGTGCTGAACATTTGTTGTGAAGGACTCACAACCAACCAACCAAAACATTCCAAACGATGTGATGCTAATTCACTCCCGAATATTAAAAATCTCTGTGTGCAAGGGACGAGGCTGAAAATCACTGACCTGTAAATCAGTTCAGTTTGTTCTCACGCTTAACTCTGTCACAGTGTAGACACCAGTCTGTCCTCTGCTTCACTCAACACACTGACATACTTGAAGTAGCAACTTGGAGTGAGCATTCAAACTATTTCTGGATGAAAACCACGGCTTCAGATTTGGAGGTGTAGATTCTCATCCTGATCACTTTGCAATCAACTGCAAACTATCACAGTGCAAGCTGAAGGTCACCACCTGATGGCCAACACAACAGCATCTGTGAAAGGCAGAGATGAGATCCTGAGACAACCATGGCTGTGCGTGGAAATTCTATTGATGATAAAAATTATGAACACTAAGTGTACATAATTTAAGTGACTAAGTGATCGCAGTGCAAACCATTGCCATCTACTGAATTCTACTGAAAGTTTCGTTGGAGAAAGTTGCAGAGGATAAAGTTTCCCGGGAAACGTTTATCTTGATCAAACACAGCCAGCCTTCTCGGCCCGTGCAAGCTCGTCTCTTTTCTTGTCTGTTCCTGTAAAAATAGGCTTTACACACACATTACCTCCTCTCTTCCTGGTACTGATTTCTTCTTATTTTCTAATCTAGTCTTTCTCCTTTGCTGCTCTACTCTCACTGTCTCATTCTGATTTATTTTGATTTCAATTAAATTCCTCCAAATTTACCCCCCCCCCCCCCCCCCCCCCCCCCCAAAAAAAAAAAAAAAAGAAAACACCAAACAAAAAAAAACCCACAAGTGTTTGTCCCGTCACTCAGCAGCCAGGATTCAGTTGCTCTGGCATGTAAGGAAGTTGAGGAAAAGCCAGAGCATGTCCTGACAGGGAGCCGCATAGTTTTGTTAGCATGACAGAAAACTGCTCGTTTCTGCCTGCATGACACTGCTGACAATTTGTACCTGCGAGCAACATCATCAAGACAGTGAGGACATTTCCTCATTTTATCATTCTGAGAGACACATAAAGCCACTATGCACCTGAGTGTGTGGTCTCACATCCTTTAACTGTTTTTGCAGCTGGTAGTTTTGCATATATTAGTGCTGAGCATGCTACCAAAGTCTGCAGATATTATACAGAACAGACTACTGAACTGGCTAATCTGTGTGGTGTGTGTGTTCCCTCATATGCTTCCCCCTACCCTTAGAAATTAACAGAGTTGTAAAGAATTTCTTTCTCCCCCCTGACTCTGTAGGCTGCTTTGTGGTCTGCTGGACACCCGCACTGGTTGTGCTGCTGCTCGATGGTCTGAACTGTGACAGGAGTTTGGTGCTAGGCCCCGAGAAATACTGTCTGGTGCTGGCAGAGTGCAACTCCTTCGTCAACCCCATCATCTACTGCTTCAGGGACCAAGACATGAGGAGGACCTTCAAGGAGATCCTGTGCTGCAACTGGTCTCAGAGGCACAAGAACAGAGGCTTCTCTGAAGTTAAATTTCACACCGTGGAGCAAGAGGTACTGTCCGAGAGCAATGGAATCAATGACAGCAATCACAATCAAAACAAGCACATGCTCTAAGGACTGTTTATGATTTTAGGCCACTTGGTATCATGCTGACTGTAGTCAGATGATCTGTCCATCTAAATATTTTGAGAGAGATGTGCGACAGCAGCGTAGCTGAATGTGGCTCGTTGTTGTTTTGTTTTTTTTATCTATCTATATATCCATTAGGGGTGCAACGATACACAAAATTCACGGTTCGGTTCGATACTTTGGTGTCACGGGTCGATATTTTTTCAATACAAAAAAATGTTCATGCTTTTTTAATTTGTCATTTATTAAAATTCTAAATGTATATTTTAACTCAAACGTACAGTTTTTAAATTTAATGTTGCTGAAACAACAAAGGGATAAAATAATAAATCTATCTGATCGAGAAATCACTCATCTTTGGAAAAAGAGAGTTTATTACAGAGAAATGGCTCTTTCCAAAATAAAAGCTATACTATACGCTTCTTCTGGGCTATATTCTCAGCAGCATATTAAACATATCAGGTCCCCATAAGGAGAATCCTGTGCTAACGGCTGTCTAAATGATTCGGGTAAAGTTTGTAGCATGAGTGCTTGTTGTTTTTGTCTGCTTCCACTTGTCTTTGCACTAGGATGATGTCGACGTAAATGTGCGGTCATATTAATTTTGTTCCCACTAGTGCTGTCAGCACTAGTGGGAACTGGAATGACGTTAACGCCACAACACGGCAAATCTCCGTTAACGAGCTACCGCGGATCGCCCCGTGCATGGGGCTGGCGCAAACTGCACTAACGCAGTAGTTCCCACCCATGTAATTGAGCATTGCGTGGCACATCCGACATACTGTTTTACTTTTGTCCATGACGCGCTTACCTTCAGGGTCATACTTCACATGAAGACCAAAATAGTTCCAAAGGCCAGATCTGACTGAGGGTGGGGGAGGTCCATCTTGTAAGGAGAGCTTAACTTCTGTCTTGCTAGCTTGCGCTGCGCTCAGTGGATCTGCGCTCGACAGTGCAGCCTAGGCGGAATAGTTGAACGCAGATCCACTGAGCTCCCAACACAGACAGTATCGTAAGAAGAAAAGTTGATAAAATAAATTAAAAAATTTTGTATTGTTCATACATATGCGTACCGAACCGAAAGCACTGTATCGAACGGTTCAATATCGATATGAGTATCGTTGCACCCCTAATATCCATATAGATAGATAGATAGATAGATAGATAGATATTTGTTGTTTAATTTCCTGAATGTCATGCCTGCAAAAAGTCCAGTTTGTGCCAGGTTTTCAGTCTATATACACACAGTTTACACACTGCATCCAGTAGTTTCATCCATCTGTCAGTGAGACCTGGCAAATCGGCAACATGCGACACAAATCAGGGAAGAGCAGACACAGCTAGTCTTTGCGCAGGCAGGCTGATCAGTTAGGTGTCCGATGTTTTTGTTTGTTTTTATTCTTATTGTCACTTCAGTGCTTCTTACTGCAAAGAGCTGAAAAGACTCGTTAATTAATTACTTATATGTAAAATGTTGCAGAACCTCTCAACATCTCCCTCCAGTTAAAATTGAACAACAGGTTAGAAGCAGTTTGATCAGAGCCAGCTGCATAAAACTGTAAATGCAGCATGCAGGGATAGTCTGTAAAGTGCTTCACATTACTGTCTCCACTCAGTTATACTGAGAACTTGGGTTGCGGAAAGATAACTTTTTAATTATTATTAGTATTATTGTTGTTGTGGCTTACTTTTTCCTTTTTTTTTTTTTTTTTTTTTTTTTTTGGTGCATATTTTGGGGAAGTTTCTATTAGGAAAAACCACGTATCTTCACTGTAGTGCTCACTTCCCCAGTCAAAGCCTTTGTGCTGTTTTTTCTTTTTTCATATATTCAGCTGAGAGCTTGTCTATGGTTGTATTATGTGAAAATTGTATTAGTCTTTAGAAGTGCACCAGAAGCCACAAGCACGGCGTTAATGTGCACTTTGCATACATGTGAGTTATTGTGTTCTTGTCTGTCTGAGCGATTGTAAACAAATGTGCTTTTTTTGTTGCGCTGTAGTATCAGTGTTGACTGGTCCAAGAGATGGTTTAGTTCATGGCGATTGGTCACATCACAGCATTTATTGAGGCGTAAACAAACACTGCACTTGTAGAATTTCTTTTAGTAAGGATGTGAGAAAAAACACATTCAGAGAAAACCTCCAACAGAGGTCCAAAACACAGAACTCATTCAACACAGTGACTTTGTGTCAAATGTTCCATAACTTAAACTTTGATATTCTACAATGTTTCTTTTTTTTATTATTATTATTTTTTAATCTAGGATCTGTTGGTTGTGTGCTTCTTTCAGTTCTTGTTTCTCACACTTTAATCCTGCCACTATATTCTCTGTGTGGATTTGTGGCAGACTGTGTCAGTCAGTAATGTGGAAACTGGTAAAGCAAATGGCCTTTCTGTTTCTGTTCAGCTCACAGCTGCAGACTCGTCACCATCATTCAGAAATCCCCCACTTCTTTTGTGTGTGCGCATTGCACCTGGCCAAATCAGACTAAACTATGATTTATGTGGGGTCTTGTTTGCGACTGCTTTGCATTTACCTTCCGTTTCACTGTCAAATGTAAGCCGACTTTGCTAACTTTGGTATTAAATCTGAAAACGTGCGACATCTAAACCCATGCTCGAATGTGTACCGCACGTGTTGAGAGAGTACACACTGCTGTGTGATGCTGTTGATGGAGGAGGTCAAGAGCTGAAGAGTTGACAAGTGGGTGGAAGCTGGGAAGAAAGAGGCACACAGCCAAAGAGCGATGAAAGTTTTTGAATGCGAGCTAAAGACAGAAACAACAGGGCTGCAAAAATGTTATGTTGAGTTTGTTCCTTGTTCAGTTGACTCTACAAAATGTTGGGAAAACTAAAGATTTACCTAAATAGCTACACAGTGCTGTAGGAAGTTTTTCTGTGTAAAAACAAAATTCAAAAATTAAGACGCAAACATAATTCACAAATTGACACTTAAAGTATTTTGTGAAGGGGGAAAAAAAGGAAAAAAAACCTCTGTCACTGTAAATGAGATACATGACCTTTTTTTTTTTTTTTTTTAATATTCAAAACATTTCATTTATTCTACAGACAGGCACAATTAAACCCAACGTTTAGCTTCATCATTATTAGGATTTTTATGCGTGATATCTGTTTGTAGACTTATATAATTGTATGTAATTATACATGTATATTGCATATTGAGGTAGGATCAAATGAGTTTACCTTTAAGTCTGTACCAACCCTTTCTTTGTCTCATTATTGTTTAAAGTGCATTTTGTTGTTATAGTCAACATAGTCATGTTCAAAATAAATCAATCATTCCGTGAAAAAAAATAAAATAAAGTATTTTGTAAATAACCACTTTATTAGCCACTTAGCATGCTAATTAACTGCCACCAGTAGGGACATTACTGTATAAGCTTTCCTGTGTGTCAGTAGTGCTGAAATAAGCGTCTTTGACTGGATGTCTTATAGGAGTGCCAAAAATTATATTAATAATTGTTGATCATGCTGAAATTCTGTCTCAACATCTGTTAAACATGGACACTAAAACAAAATTGAAAAATAAAACAGGCAAACATGTATTCTGATAGATTTTAAGTTGCTACAATGATTTTAGACAGACTTTCAGGCTATTGGTGCAATTAACTGCACAGCAAGTCATGCTAGTTGTTAGATTATTCCATTCAAAAGTCCACCAACACAACTTTTTTTTTTTTTTTTTTTTTAATTTAAATTTGGAGTCTTTGCGGACTTACTGTCTTGGAATTGGCGTCAAGTGTCCATTTGAAGAACTGCAGTTTTTGGCACTTCGGCACTGACTTTATTTTTGCGTCACAAAGTTTGTTGCTTAGTAAGAAACTCCTAGCCCTAACCCTAACCCTCCCATTTAGGTTTCTGATTTGCCGTCGTTAATATTTAAGCTCGATATCGCAAACTTCAAAGCTTAGAATTACGGTTTGAACCTTCAGTTCTGTCTTAACCTGTTCAAAATTTGGTTGTGTATGCGCAAAACATCTGTGTTCACACTGTGTCCCATCATTCATGCAGAATAAAGGCCACAAATATAATTCCATGCATATGTACTTTTATCCAGCCACCAAATTTTCCAGGCCAACTTTTTAACCGAAGGTCAAGGAGTGACCTTCACATAGCTCCTCAAAATCCCAATCAGTGAGGTTAAATCACCTCTCTGCCTTATGCTATAAACAGATTTGGTAATTACCCAAATGCCTGGAATTATCCTGTTGCCTGATGCAACTATTACTCTAGTTTATGCTGACCGTAACATTTCTGTGTCCTGCGTGCACTTCATTAATCCATGTGTTTTGTAGCTTGTGTACGCTCATGTTGTGGTAGTGTTTAAACCAGTCCAGATGTGTGTTGGTGGTTAGCGGGTCATGCTTCTTGCCACATTTCCTCTGACTTGTTACTCTGGCATGTGTGTTCAAAGAATACATTCTCGGTACAGAGGAAGTGCTGCAAGGAGTGTGTTATCTTGTTAGTGTGCACATGCATTCTTGAGTGAGAAATAATTCACAGAAACATTGTCTTTGTTTTTTTTGGGGGGGGGGACATAAAGATCAAAGAGAGGCATTTGGGCCACTGAAAGGAAGTTGCATCTTTAATAGAGCGCGTTAACTGTAAGCGCTCTCAAAGAGCACAGCATTGTGTCTGTTTATACATATATATCCTAATTATACCTCTTGTCATTTAGATTTTAATTGAATCAAAGTTTTAACCGATTGTTATATTATAGGCGTACTTTTTTGTTTTTGTTTTTTCCTTGGTGTTGTTCCAGCAATTCAGGAAGTTTTTTACGTGATTTTTGGGCTTTTTTTGTTTTGTTTTAAATTTTGTACATTGTTACAACTAATAAGAATAAATGCACCATCTGTGTACGTCTGCAATTTGTTTGGTCGTGTGTGTGTCTGTTGCTTTGCGGTAACTGCTGAAATTTGCAATTTAGAAACATGGCAGGTCGTGTGGAAACGCTCCTTTGGGTATGAACATGAAATTCATCTCTTTCTAACTGCTTGTTTGTTTGTGGGTTTTATTTTTTATTTTTTGCTAGTTTTCATATGACTAACCCACCCACCTCCCCCCTCTCTATTTTTCACATTCTCCCCGTTGCATCTAATCCCCATTTCTTATCATTGTCATGATTTTTTTTTTTGTTAATAATTTTTAAACCCTTCACCCTCCTGGTTCTTTGACCTCATTTTCAGTTTCTCACACTCTTGTCTGTTTCTCCACCTTTGTCTCTAGAATGGTAAGTCTCGTATCCCCAAGGCGAAAGAGAGGAGCAACGGGGCGCCTCTCATCCGTGCCAGCTCAGAGGACATCCCTGCAAGTCTGATTAACTGAGACCAGCTGAGAAATTTCGAGGCATGCACACATACATATCTAAGTGAACTTATCTGTGTATGTACACAAAAATGAGCCTTGAGCTGGTTCTTCAAGGATTATGTAGATTTTTTTTTTTTTTTTTTTTTTTTTTTTTTTTTTTTATATAAAGGGTTTTACCTCTGCTGTGGGTTTACAGTTTCTGCAGCTACTGGTAGAAGAGATACACTCTTTGGCTGGAAGCTTCATAACAGCAGCTTGATCTTCTCATTTAAACACAAGCCCGCCATCAACACCTCCCCTGCACAGACGCGTACACATTGTTGGGATCACTTGGACAACATGGGAGACACACGTGAGAGTTTCCTGTTGAGACATGAGTGACTCGGCAGTTTTTTGTTGTTTTTTTTGTTTGTTTTTTTTTGTTTTTTTTTCCCCTCAGTGACAACAGTGATGGAAGAGCAACACCTGGAAAGCTACACAGCAGACCGTGGAATAAATGTGTGAAAATGTGCAATCATAAAGAATGCGCTCTGTGCTTTAGTTATGAGCCACACAAGAGTAGTTTGCTGGCTACTCTTAGCTTAAGTTAATGTGATCCAAGTTGTTACCACTAGTGCAGTAAGTCCTCCTTAATAAATTCCGGGGTGTTTATTTAATTGCATGACCAGAAAGCTGTGTGTGTGTGTGTGTGTGTGTGTGAGAGAGAGAGAATGTGAATAAAATACTAGAAACACGACTTTTATAACGTGGATTGATTTAAAAAGTAAACAGTAAAGTCCTGGAGGATGGATTTTATTGGCCTGTGTTATTTTGAGTAAACAGTCAGCTGTTGTGTATGCAGATATAGTTTCAGACAGGGGCCCAATGGCCACTCTGAGGGCATTAATAAGTATTTTAGTAACATTAAAGTTATAGATTAATCAGGTTTGATATTTTTAAACTAGTTCAAAGATTTAAAACTATTTTAGTGGGTTTCTTACACTTTTTGTCCAATCAGCAGCACCTTTTTTTTTTTTTTTTTCTCTCTTGCTAACATTTGTAGATGGTGTTCCTGTCACAAATGTTATATGGATTGTTGTTGTTTTTAAATCCCTCAAGGTATACGTGCCTGTTATGACGCACAGTTTTCGTTTTCTTTTATTCGTCAAAATGAGCGCCGTGCCTTGTAAATCTACAGCCAGTGAAAAATGTGGTTACAAATGTTGCGTTTCTTTTTAATATACAGCCAGTGTGATATAAGAATGAGATGCAAGTTGTTGTTTTTATTTATAGTTTTTTTTTTTCCACTCACTGCATGCTGCTTGTGTTTGCATAATGTAAATTGTCTCTGCTCAGTGGAAACAATGTTCACTTACAATGTTTGTCATAGAAATATACAACTTAAATTTGCAATGACATTGTAATGGTTGATATTGTAACAGTATTCAGTAGTAATTTACGGGGGGATGAAGCCCATCATTTGTCAGCAGGATGATAATCCACAAATGTTTTTATTGCTGAGTAAAGTGAGTAAAGCTTTTGAGTAAAATATTGCAGCTGATTAATATTGATTTTTGGGAGAAACTGACATGTTTAAAAGAACCGTTGACGGCTGTAACATGTTTTCTGCCATTATAATCTGCTCTCTGAGTGATGCCATTAAAAACGTGTATCTTGCTGACTGTGGCCTGTTTACAGAGTTGTCACGTCTTCCTTCCAGATTGGAGGCGGTTGTTATCTGTTTGCAGCTGGACGAATGGATCGTATGATCTCATTGAGTTTCTTTTTAGGCACCTTTGCCTCACTTGTTGGATCATTTGCCTTATTTTCCTTAGATCGAGGAACAGTGTCTGTCTGACTGGTAATGTCTTTCTTCTCATCCTTGGAAAGTTTCTTTTTTATTTGCTCTCCAACTCTTTCCAGCCCCCCTTTGTCCTTCTCCTTCCTTCCCGGTGAACCAGTTTGACTCGTCTCTTTCTTTGTGTAATCCATCGAGAGTCCTTTCAGCAATGTCGGCACTTTCTTGTTTGCTGTCAGTGACGGTTTCTTCTTGGAATGCTTGTCCTTCCTCGACTTTTTCACACTCAGTTTGTCCAGCGACAGAGCGTTCTTTTTGCGTTTCTTATGAGGCAGCACCCTCTTCAGTTGACTCCAGGTCTTTTTCAGAGGTGATTTCTTCTTCTTCGGCCAAAAGATGGTTGTTTTTGAGGAGGAGCCACCCATTGCTGACCTGCAGGAAGAAGTAAAATGTGATCAGCACAAACGCACAAGTTTGTTCTGGCAGCTTTTTACAACAGTTTAACACAGCTATAAATATACCTCATACATAATACCTAAACAATTTGAAAGCTAGATTTTAAGATTGTTTAAATAAAAACTCCTAACGTGTAACTGTGTCTTGATGCATGCGCAGTCATCCAGGTAAGAATGTGTAAGTATATTTGGAGTTTTGGGATAAGCAAAATTTGAAAACATCAGCAGGGTCATTCCAAGCTGATGGTGGTTAAATGTATTTCAGTGTTAGGTCTTAGAAAAGGGCTGTATTTGATTATTACCTACTCATCTGGTTAATTTGATTATATTACAGAGTTTAGTTCTCAGTCAAGGAGAAAGTTAATTAATGATGGTGATCTAAGGTAAAGACGCCCAACAAGGCTCAACATCCTCTAGTGGGCTCCTGCCCAGCACTGTGACAGCTGATTGGCAGTTACCATAAAATACCATAAGTGGCAGCTCCACCATTGGAGCCAGGTGGAACCTCAGACTGTCCAGGAGCTAAGTGATGCCCTGATCCAGCTGGGGGGGTGCATCTGTTGTCTCATTGGGTGCATGCTACAATGTTATAAGGCATGTGTACAAGCACGTGAGGGCAAGACAAATTTGAGTTACTGCAAGTAAATTTCAGTAGAGTGGACTAGCCTGCATAGTTTTTCCACTTTGATATTCAGTATCTTTAACTTCAGCCCTCTGTAGTTTCCTTTCCTTCATAACACATGATCCAGTCCGTATCAGTATAGATATCCAGAAGATTTTATTATTATTTTTTTTACAATTGAGATCTGATGTCTAAGTGTTCCTTTAATTTTTTGACCAGTGTAAATATAGATAGGTATTTATATAGGTGTAGATATACAGAAATATAGTGTGCTTTTAAATTTCTAGTTTGGTGATTTATATGAATAGTATGGTAATTTCACAAGCCATATATGGAAATTACCATACTATTCACAGACCAGAAACCACACATTGAAGATGTGTTGATTACACTTTCCTGTCACATTTACTTAGGGTTAGGGTTTAAGGTTTCACTCAAAATGCACATATAAATAGTATCACTGTTCAAACTAATGTTACTCCACTCTGGACTATCACTTCAGTCTCTGCTATTTGCAACAATGACTGTCACATACAATAAGTAGCTTTGGTAGTAGAAGTACAACAGAAAGAGTTATCAAAACTGACAACTTTTATATTTCAAAAGGTAAAAGAAGTATAACAAAGATCAGTTCCTCTTCATACTATATTATCTGATACTAAAACCTCCAGGCAGAAAGCCAGGGTAATGAAGTCTACGTACCGCGAGTGCTCTCCACAGTCAGACCGAACAAATGTTTTGGATGACTTTCTGTGTCGTCTGTGCCGAGTTTAAACCTGAGACTTGCTTATAACGAACATTTACACAACACTTACCCTTATGGAAAGTCTCTTAAGAATCAACATCAGATAACACCGCTGTCCTCCTGACTGTGACAAAGACTGGGCTTTTTTCATGTGATCATGCACCAAACACAGACAGAAAAACCTGGAAGAACCAACCTGTTCTGTGACATTCTCCAGAGCTGACTCTGCTTGTGTTTCTGCTATGTCAAAGAGGCATGTCTCCCTCTTAAAAATCCATTATGGACACTTATGAATATGACATGTATGTTTGCTGATTACAGTTTTGCACTTACACAACTGTCCATTTACATTTAACCGGAGTGCCCTGTGGATCAATGTTGAACTTTGTGCTTTTCTGTTTGGGTTTTTTTTTTTCTTTTTGGATGAACTTCAACAACAACTGAGCACAATGTCAAGCACCCCCTCACCCTGGGTCCTGTGTCACAGAAGGTTTGAACTGAAATAAAACGGAAGCTCGCTGATCCAGAAGATAAATCATTCACATTCTCACTCTCTCTTGTTCGGCTTTATCCTCTCTGCTCAGAAATCTCAGAGTCACCCAGTTTCATTTCAACCAGATTCCTGATGCAGTTTGCAGGTTTCTGGGCATGATGTTTGCTCACACGAGATCTAGCTCCTGCAGTTTCTTACACAGTGCAAAAGCTTTCTAAAACATTCAAGCTTAAACGGTTTTCTTGTGTTTCCTGGATGCCGCAAGAGAAATGCTTCCATAAAACGAAGATTCTTTGAGATTTTGTGTGTTAAGACTTAAGCTGTGCTGCAGCATGGCTTTTTTAGCAGCACATTGCTGATGTTTTGATTGTCAGGGTGGTTTCCTGTTTCCTGAGTTTGTAACACCTAACACTGGTTATATTCGCTAAAATGTTTTGGTTGTCTAAATTCATAGGGTGCCGAGCTGGCACTGAATGAATTTCAGCATTTTCTTCTGTCTGCAGGCAGCTGTTTCATAATTTGTGGTCATGCAAACCTTCAACCTCCAAGGGCCCAACCAGATAAGAGCATCAGACTGTGGTTTTTAGGTTAACTATCACATGGGAGGAAAAACTTATCAATAACAAGACCATGTAAGGGTCTTAGGGTGACAAATCTATGTAAGGTCTAGCCCTCGGTTCACAGGTTCATGGGGGTGTCAGAGTGCTTCAGTTTGTTTTTATCATAAAATCTTTTGTTTGTTTCTGTAGTTTGGTTCGGTAGGCTATAGTAAAGCTACTCATTTGTGTGACGCTTGGGTAAAATTTGCAAGAATTTCACGCAAACTTTTCACTTTCTCTTTGAGGTTACTGCGTTAGAATACGGTGTGAAAATGAACGTGAATAAGGCTGTAACATGACACAATGTGGAACAAACGAAGCGCTGTGAATACTTTCCAGATGTAGTGAGTGATCGTGTGAGTGATCGAGTTGATGCCTTGCTCAAGGGCGCCGCCGTGTGGAGGAAGGAGGCTGTTACTCGCGTTTATGCCGAGTCTACAGGCTGAAAAGTGGCGTCGGGTAATTCCATCAATGTGCTCTTGTGAACCGGAGCGGAGGTTTGTTAGTGCTGTTTGTGCTGCTGCGGAGAGCATCGCCGATCTGAGAAACATCCTCATTGGCTGATTTGTGACGTTTAGGGGGGCGTGGAGCCGGCTTGGTGGCACCAGTGTGACATTTATTTTTTAAAAGAAACAAATCTGTCAGCAGACCACGTTTCTATTATCAACCCTCTGTTTGTGATAACTGATTTATTATCATTCATTTGTTTGTCTTCAGTCTAAATCGCAGAGCCCTCCTCCGTTTCCCCTCCTCCCCCGCCTCCTTCTCCATCCCTCCTCCTCACATTTCCCCGGTGCTGCTGCTGCTGCCTCCGTGTCTTCGGTGCGGTACACCGCAGCCATGGTGGACTCTCCCAGCGCGATGAAGAAGACCTTCTCGGTGCCGGAGATCAAACCGCTGGACCAGTACGACTTCAATCGAGCCAAGATCTGCGCCAGCGTTCGGTGGCTGCTGTCGAAATCCTACGGCTCTGCAGGTACCCTCCAGCCTCTACCCACAGCTGAGGCGCATCTTGGGTGGGGCGCTTAATAATTTATCCCGCTGTATCCCGCTCCATATGCAGCTCCGAGTCCGTCTAACCCCGCTATCTGCCTTCAAAGGAAAGCCCTTCTCCGCGTCATCCATCATTATCATCCTCTGCCCCGACGATGCTCGTGGTCAACCTGGGCCAGCGTCTCCCCCCTCTATCGGGTGTGCAGTTTCCACAGCGCGTGCAGGTTATCATATTAGCCAATTATTTGACGTGAGCACGAAGCTTGTCAGAAGGAATCTCCTCAGTGGTGCGTGATGCGTGGAGGAACCGGACAACAAAGCCTTTGTCAGAGCCGGGCTCAGTCAGGCCTGTGGAGAGATTTGTAACGACGGGCAAATTTATTTGTTGGGTTTTTTTGTGGATTTGGGAAATGTGTATGTATAGCTCATGCGTGGGCCTGCTCTAAATGGGTCAAGACCGCATAATATTTGTGTCACTGTTACGCACGCACGGTGTGGTGAAGGTGACACAGTGGGGCTGCTAAGACAATGGATGGCTTTCTTGCACCACACGCATTCATTCCCTGAAGAAGTTCTGAATAAACCCGGCACAAGTGCCACCTCCTCCCTGCATTAACAGGCCAAAGAATGCAGAGGGTTTCTGAATGCTGTAAGCAGGTGTAGGTGCAGCATCCTGCTGCGTTAAACCACCTCTCACGAAGACCACGTTGTTTAGATTTTGGTTACACTGTGAAAGAAATGTTAGGTCAGCTTTGGTCTTTGTGCACTTTATGCCTGCTCTGTATCGGATGACATCATGCTGCGTGGCTGGGTCTGCAATCAGCAGTTTTGTCATTTGATCAGACCAACCGACCAAAACAAAACCGTATTTGATTTTGAAGCAGTTCAGTATCCTGCCAGCTGCTATTGCTCTGGTTAGTGTTGTGGCTACCTCCGGCCTCCTGTTAGCATGATAAATGTGACAAGACCCAATCTCACATAATGTGCATGTAGGAAGGTTCAGACTGTGCTGGCTAATGCAGTGATGTCACACAGCAGGCTAACTAAGCAGTAGTAAACCTGCGCATGTAATAATCCAGGTTATCTGCTGCAGTAATGGCTTTAGACAGAATTTCATATCACATTTGTGTCTGGCCTCCCCGTCAGTGCAGGACAGCAGAGAGGAGGAGAGATGAGCTGTAAGCCTCTCAGCAGGGAGGCTTCATTGTTATCCGTCAACTGGAAAATGTCCACTGGGGTGTCTTGTCGAATTTTTAATGGAAGCCCCGAAGAAAATGGCACTAATAAAGCCGCACATGAGATTCATGCACCGGTCACAGTCCTCACACTGACGAGGTTTATTATTCCACCCAAACAGTGGACAGGACCGCAGAGAGCTGTTATCTAATGATTGTGTCACTTTAAAACAAACAGAGACATTATGAAACCAGTTGTATTTTTTTCTTGGTATCATGTGGTTTCCAAGTCAAGTTAGGTAATAGTCTTCTAGTAAAGACTCCGTGACCTTTATTTAACCAGGAAATGGCCTCACTGAGAGTCAGTCCTCTTTGGCAGGATTGTCCTGTCTGAGCAGGAGTCACGCATCATCAATAAAATATTTCTAACTCACGAGAAGTGACAAACCGAGAGTCACCACATGCGTATGTGTTCACATCAGTTTTAGCTCTGTGTTTGGTCTACACCAACTAGAACTGAACCACCTTCTGTGAGTGCTGGGGATTTAGCAACCATTCAACTTTTTCAGATGCAACCCAAAATAATGTTGACTTAAATTTATGTCCTGAAAGACATTCATAGGTTTCCCTGGTAGTAAGGAAATCATCAATTTCAGCAAATGTAACCCTGAAATGATGAGTGGACTTTAACTCAACATGAATTTAAATTCGTCTAAACAGAGGAACCATTTGAATTCAAGCACATTAGTACCTTCTCTCAGTTTTCAAGCTTATATGTTACAAATTCCCATTTTAACTCGTGGAATATTCTGCTTTTCTTTGATAGAACAGGATGTTTTTCATGTTCTGGGATAATGGTTGCACAAGGAAACAATCTGAAGAGTCTGAAGAGTCTGAGATTGGCTCTGGAAATCTATCCTGGACATTGTTCATTGTTTTTAGAATGATTAGCAGGTCAATCCATGGAGAAAATAATCCATATCTGCTTCCCTAAACATGTGTTTGCACTGTGGTAGAAAGATTTAAATGGATAGCTCCACAGTCCTGTTTGTAATGTTCCCTACTCTGCAGTCCAGTCTCATTGCCTCAGCTGTGATTGGGACAAATGGCCACTTTCCATTTTCATCGTTCCCATAGTGACCGAAGTCCTGTTTCCTCCCAGCTCTCTTTACAGAGTCTGAAAGGCAAAGGGGTCCAACCCCAAAAACAGTGCGCGTGTGTCACACTGCACTGCAGTGTGTGCTCAGTGTAATCGATGTGCTCGTCAAATCTTTTGTCTCCTCTCCTCAGAGAAATGGGCCACAGCATAGGAAGGAGGAGTTTCAGTTACATAAGTAAGCCTTACGACAGTGGAGAGTAGTTGTGGCGCTCATTGCGGGTCACTCTGAAAATGTGTGTGGACGGATCAAGAAGTGAGGGGGTAGAAAATAATGGCAGAGACTTAAAGAGATCAGGGACTGACTGCAGAGTGAACGGAAGTCATGCGAGCTCTGAGAGTTCCTTCAAATCTACTCCAGTCTTCCAGATCATGCCAAGTTGGAATATGGGTCAGTCAGGGAATTGTGTGTTTTTGTGGTCACAGTGTGTATGTGTCTATGAACTGACCAACTCCTAGTGGACTGGACATGTTCACAAACACACACTCTCTTGTCTGGGTAACCTAGCTGAGCTGTACATGAAGATGATGACATTATTGCCTCCTGCAGTCAGATTCTGTAGCTTTCCGTCACAGATTTCCATTGTGGGAATACGTCTTCAGTGTGTTCCATAAGTTATTTATATTTTTCCACAGTTTATGTGACAAGGCTGGCTGCAAACAGCCTGTGTGACTGCTGCGGCCTTTATTTTACATTGGGCAGTGTTTTCATAAAGCCTTTCTCTGCATCAGAATTCCATCTGGCAGTTTTTACCGTTCCCAGAGCACAGCACAGGAAAGCTCAGTGTTTTCTCCTCATATATATCGGCTCACATGCACCTAAGAGATGTAGCTCTTGTATAAAGTGGACAAGTTCTTATTCTCAATGATCTCGGCTTGGAGATAATAGATGAGTGTACAGCTTGCACCATTCAGTGACCGTCCTTTGAATTTCTAAACACAGTTGTATCTTTTGCATCTAGCGTCGTTTCTTTAAGCATAAGCATTGTTGCAGATCAGGTACACCCTTTCATGGAAACGGCATTCCCTGTTGGCTGTGGCCTCTTTCAGCAGGATAAAGGATCTGTTGACAACAACATGGTGCCAGATACCACAGCACACCTTCAGTGGTCCATGCCTCAAAAGGTCGGGGCTGTTTTTCCAGCAAAAGGGGAACAACACCTTATTGGACACGTGGTCATGATGTAATGCCTGATCGGTGTGTAAAGAGGAGCTAGAAGTTGGTGCTTTAATCTCAAACCTCTTTTTCAAAAGCTGCTACTGGTCAAACTGGCAGTTAAAAATATTTCATAAAGAATTTTTCTCTTTACCTTTGCATGCTAGCAGCATCCATTAAGCTAATATGCTAATTGTAAGAAGATTTAAGGTCAGATTTACTGAACAGGCCAAAATAGCGTGGAAGTCAAATCTCAAATACGTTTTTTTCTATGCTTTTTAACTAGCTTTCATACTCCATTGGATGTATCAGCAAAGAACTTCGGGTTAGTATCTTGCCCAAGGATATTTGGCATGCAGACTGAAGGGAGCCAGGGATCAAACTACCAACCTTCCAATCAGCAGATGACCTGCTCTACCTCCTTAGCTACAGCTACCTTGTAATAGGTGTGATTCAGTGTTAAATATCTGTACAATTAAGAATATCTGCTTGATTTAAATAGTCCCTTCTCTATATTTTGTGCCTTGAAAGAGTAACTTCCAGAATCACAAATGCGACAGGGTCAGTTGCAAAAAGCTCTACGTTCCCACCTCTTGTCACTGTGCTCTCTTAGTAAATTCCAACAAAAACCCAGTTTGTGATGGAACAGTGTGTTAGTAAATCTGGCCTGTGAAGTGAGCTCTGACCACCATGTGAATGAGAGCGAGGCAGGTGATCCACTGTGGTGACCCCTAAAGAGAGCAGCCAACAGGAGAAGACCTGTTGGCTGCTAATATTTGCTAATATGGACTCTTCTTCCAAAAACCAAAGTGAGAATGTCCTTTTCTTTTCAGAGAACGTTCCGGTGGAGTTGCGCGATCCGCTCTATAAGGACCAGTATGAACAAGAGCACCTCAAGCCGGCTGTCTCCAAGCTGCTTCTCTCCCCGGAGATCTACTGCAGAGCTCAGGCACTGCTTGCCCAGGCACACGGGGTCTCTCAGCCAGCATCGCAGGGGTCTCCAGCTGATAACTCTGCCCTCCTGCAGTTCCTCATTAAGAAAGGTTTCGCTCCGAAGGTCCAGGATGCCGATGTCACAGAGGAGGACCTTAGCAGTAGCCCTATTAAAACGGTGTGTGTTGTGTATTTGTATGATGGCGTATTTTCTACTTTAAATTCAACCTGCAAGTGGTTGAATGCTTTCAGCATCTCAGGTAGCATTTGAATAGTCACTTAAATACAATTTAAAAACATTTTTTATAGGAGGTTTCCAATGTAAGATTGGATCATTTACAGGAAGGAAAAGAGTCAGATCTTCAGACTGGCCTTTCCAACTGTGCCAACATTTCAGTCTCAGTCATACCAGCTACTCAGGTGCTTAAATGGTCCTTCTTCTCCCTGATTGGTGCAGAAAGCCCACCTCGCCCTTATTGACTCGCTGATGTCACTGGCTACCAAAGAGACGGTGGGTCAGGTGAAAATGGCGGTGGAGGCGGAGCAGATGGGTGTTGGAGCGCCGTGGGAGAATGGACTGCTCTTCTGGGTCAACAGGGTGAGAACACAACATCGGTGATTTCTGCTGGTCTCAGCAGATTCAACTTCTGTCCCAGTTCATGGTTTTTATTGGTTTAAAGCCTTAGATTAAGTTATCACACATAACACAACATCACTGACAGGACTAGTCATGAGAATCTGAATGCTGAAATACCACAGACTCTGCATTGTCTCCAGTGGCAACCTGAGGTTAGCTCCAAAAGCGAATCAATCCACACCGACTGTTAAAATGTCCAGCTTTACAACAAAAATAAACACGTTTACAACCTGACACAAAGAAGCGTTGGTCTTTGTAGCAGAGAAGACATAAAAAAACCTCACTAGATGAAATTGTATTGAGATTCAAAGTTATGCAGATTTACATGACCATTTCATCCTCAGATGGATGCTGTCAAGAGACGGACATAACTACTATGATGACAACCACTGGTTTCTACTGGTTTAAAGCATCACTATTTCCACAATCACTGAATGGTGTTTTGATTCTGGGCGTGACAAGAGAGGGGAGGACGACGTGTCAATCACATGTTGTTAGCCTGTGAACGTATCTTGGATAATTGTTGTTTCTGACTCGTGGAATGAACGAATCTTGTAAAATGGGCAGACTTGTTTACAGTCCATGATGTCCCCCATCTCTCACGCCATGACAGCTGGGATAGTGAAACTTGCTAATTAAGCTAAAGAAATTATCATTATAATTTCATTATCAGCTAATGCTAGCACGTTAGCTAGCATTGGCTAAGAAACATTTTATTTCTTGTGATAAAACATTGTAACTTTGAAATCATGTGAGTTCTACTGTAATAGTGTTTGTCTTACATTTGCAGTTGAACCAGAAGCTAAGAGAAAGCACAGAAGAAGAAGAGCCGCCTAAGTCACAGAATTGCACAGACTTGCAGCCTGTTCAGGACTCGGTAAAATACCGCCAACAAACACATAAATACTCACATGCTTGATGACTTGTAATAAAGCATGTATGTGCCTCATTGCTATGTTGCTGCAGCTTTAAACATTGACCTTGCCCTTCTTCTGTTTTCTCCCCTCGGTTTGTTTCTGTCACTCCTTGATCTCTGGCAGTGTCAGTCCACCCGGTGGTACTGGAAACTAGTCCCCGTAAGTGTACTCTTCTCTTCTCTGTTGTCCTCTTTGTCTGTCCATCTGCTACGGCTGACATTATTGTGCCTGCTGGAAATGCCCACACATACCTTTTACCTGTCTCCTCATAAAAAGTGTCCAGTAGACTTATCTTAATACCAGCTGACCGATCTGTTGCCCCATTATGTCCCGAAAGTCCTTATTATTGTCAACTGATGCTGTTTTGGACACTGGGTGTTTCTGACGTTGCTACATTCAGTCATCAGTTTCATCTCAAAATGAGCCAGATTTTTAGAGGCGAGGTGGAGGAGGAGTTGCTGAAGAAGGAGGCGACAGAGGTGAAGTGACCTTTATTAAGTGGTTATTAAAAGACATCTGTGCTCCCTTGGTTTGTCCCCTTCCTCTCCTCCTCCTCCATCGCTCTGTCCTCTCCCCCCTGAGCAGACGTTTTTTGGTGTGGCGGTTCCCATGATGAGCGGCCCCCTTGTCATTTATGCTTGTTTCCCTCTCTCTGCCATCCCCCATCCAGCATGCTATCGCTTTTTGTTTGAAGGAGTCGGGGAATAAGCCGCCAGTGGTAACGTATAACACCTCGCTCTTCTCTCACCCTCTCCCCCCACCCCCGCTTCCCGTACCATTGCACTCGACTGACCGACAAACCGACCAATCGCCACACCTCACCTACCACGCTGTCGACCAGTGACTGACCGTACAGCTGACTGCGAGCTAACCACCACTCCAACCTCGAGGCTGGATGGATCACTTTAAAACTCATTAGCCTTTAACACAACTTCTCCATAGTTATCGTTGTGTGTTACAGAGCCTTGTTATAGGAGGCACGGCGCCACTGCGTGCTACCCTTTGAAGCTGAACGCGCCTTCTTTGTCCTGCTCCAACAAGGCTGTGGAACAGTCAGCTTACGTTACAGATGCCTTGTTTTTGGGTTTGTTTATCTCATGTGGACGTCAAAGACTGATGCGGCGTCTGAGCTGCGAGACTCACCTTTTCTTTCTCTTCTTTTACTTTTTTCATTTAATCAATGCCAATTAGAAGCAAAGGCTCACAGTGTCATCAGTGCCCATTACCACTGCATGGACACCGAAAAACAAACATCCTCCTTTTCACGTCTTTCTTTCAGTCTTTTTTCTTTGTTTGCAATGTCCCTTTTTAATTGTTGCACTGCACCTTCTGGTTGCTGTGTCTATATGTGTACAAACTTGAGGCATCATTGGTCTTGTGCTTTGTTTCTATGGGCTTTTCTTCTCTTTGCAGTTTTTCCTGGCGTTTGGCTGGCTTCACACTTTAAGTCAATGCTTTTGTTTCTTGTCTGACGGAAACACAACGCTGGCTGATTTTATATTTCCTTTGCTACTTCTGAGTCTCTCTCTGAATCCCTTTAAAAACAACCCGTTTCCCTGCCTGTATACTCTTAGTCTCACTTATTTTATTTTTTTTGCAAAACGTTCTTTTTCCCCCCTATGTCAATTTTCTTCTCCTTCCCTCTCTTTTCTTATCCAGATCCGCTATAGGAAGGACAAAGTGCAGTCTAAGTTGACTCCCACTTTCCCTCTGGTTTCTGCGGTCAAAGATCTGTCTAACGGCTGCGCAATAGCTGCTGTGCTGCACTATTACTGCCCCAGCTTGCTGCCTCTAGAGGGTACACGTTAACTCAGACACTAACACACATTCATAGATGTGCATAGATGTACAGATAGGATGATGAAATATTTATATTTAGTTAATGTGCGCTTCAAAATACTCAACAGCTTAAGTGATAGGGCTGTAATTTAAAATACAATTTCCTGTAAATGTTGCTTGTTAATGCATTTCGTGTAACTTTTAGTACATCAGTATAGTCACAAAACGCAATAGTGCCTCTCATGTTCTCTATTTAGATTTTGCCTTTAAAAAAAGCATCTTTTATCTTGATTTGAAGCAAATATATTTAAAGTTCTTTGACAAACATCTGGAAGCAGCATTGTTCCATTGTTTTTCATTGTTTACTCCTTCCAGATGTGTGTCTGAAGGATACCATGTCAGTAGCTGACTCTCTCTACAACCTGCAGCTGATCAAAGAGTTCTGTGAGAGCAGCTTGCAGAGCTGCTGCCCCCTTGCTGTGGAGGATATGCTCTACGCGCCACTGACTCTGCATGTAAGCGTCACGGTCTCTGACATTAAACTGTTGTTAGTTAACAGAGAAACTTTGTATGGGTGTTTACTCCTAACTTAATCCTTTCTATAGGCTGAAAAATGTTTGTGGTCTGAATGTAAACCAGTTGGTTTCAATTTAAACCACTAGAGGGCAACAGAAGCCAGCTTTTAGAGCGAAAAGGTATAACATTATGACCACTGACAGGTGAAGTGAATTAAACCGATCGTCTCTTCATCATAGCGTGAGTTGGTGGGATATACTAGAGAGGAAGTAAAGACTTTGGCTTCAAAGTTAATGGGTTAGCAAGAGAAAAATGGGCAAGGGTACAGATTTGAGCGAAGGGCTATATTGTGATGGCTGCATGATTGGGCCATAGCGTCTGCTAAACTTTAAAAAGGGTTTAAAAAGCATCTAAATTCATGTTGGGTGTTTCTAGTCTGCAGTGATCAGTATCTGTCAAAATGTGTGAACCAGCAACAGGGTCATGGGCGGCCAAGGCCACCTGATGCATGTGAAGAGTGAAGGCTGGTCTGTGTGGTCTGATCCAACAGACGAACTATTGTAGGTCAGGTGGTAGAGTGGATCACCTACTAACTGGAAGGTTGTTGGTTCGATCTGCTACAGTCTGCATGCCTAATATCAGATAGAGTAGAAAAGCACTGTATAAGAACCAGTCCATTACGAAATTGCCAAATAACTTTCTGCTGGTTCTGATGGTAAAATGGCCTGTATTTGTATAGTGCTTTTCTAGTCCCTAAGGACCCCAAAGCGCTTTACACAACCTCTCATCCACCCATTCACACACTGGTGATGGCAGCTACATTGGAGCCACAGCCACCCTGGGGCGCACTGACAGAGGCGAGGCTGCCGGACACTGACCACCACCAGTAGGCAACGGGTGAAGTGTCTTGCCCAAGGACACAACGACCAAGACTGTCCAAGCCGGGGCTCGAACCGGCAACCTTCCGATTACAAGGCGAACTCCCAACTCTTAAGCCACAATCGCCCTGATAGAAAGGTGTCAGGGTACAGACTTCATCACAGTTTGTTGTGTATGCGGCTGCATAGCTGCAGACCAGTCAGGGTCGCTGTCCACCACTGAGAGCACCAACAATGAACACATGAACATCAGAACTGGACCATGGAGCAATGGTAGAATATGGCTTGGTCTGATGAATCACGTTTTCTTTTATATCAAGTGGATGATGGTGTGTGAGGGAAGAAGCCAAGCCGGCAGAGGCAACGTGATGCTTTGAGCAACGTTCTGCTGGGAAACCTTTGGTCCTAACATCCATGTGGATGTTACTTTGACTCGTACCAGGTACCTAAGCATTGTAGCATGACATTACCTGATGGCCTGTCACAAAAATGATTCAGGAATGGCTGGAGGCACACAGCAGTGAGTTTGAGGTGTTGACTTGGCCTCCAAATTCCCCAGATCTCAGTCCAATCAAGCTCCTGTGGGATGTGCTGGACAAACAAGTCTGATCCATGGAGGCACATTGCAACTTACATGAGTAAACGGATCTGTTGCTAATATCTTGGTGCAGATACCACAGCTTCAGGGGCCTAGTAGAGTCCGTGCCTCAACAAGTCAGGGCTGTTTTGGCAGCAAAGCGGAACAACACCATACTGGGCAGGTGGTCATAATGTTATGTCTGAAAGGTCTATCTTATCGTTATAGTAATATAGTTATCTTGAATCTGAGGCGTGACATTAAAGCAATGTATTCAGTGCTGATGCTGTCTTCATAATGTCCATATGTCACGCTAACACACTCTTTTCCTCAGCTTAACATCATGAGCTTCATAGCAGAGCTGCTGGAGTGGTTTGAGATCAAGAAACCTGATTTTGTCCAGCCCGTACAGCCCATTGACCTCACAGGTTTGTGACTTCACCACGTTAATAAGAACTTCTTTGCTTTACTGGCTTTGTGCACATTTGTTCACTGACTGTAACACTGCATTCTGTACCTTTCAGATGTCTCAGGGTTAACTGACTGTATTAGTCCCGTCACTGGTAACAGCAACAGGTACCAGCATGCCACACATACAAGTACATATACAAAAAGTGGTTAGAAATATTATTAAAAAAAAGACCAGTCACTAAACCCAAATTACTACAGGGTAGGAAATAACACTCAACTGAAATAAATCTGAATACAGTCAAACAGGACCTAATCAAGCCATTTGTTGAGTCAAACAGATGGGCCACAGACAAAAATTGGCTGTGTTGTGTAACACTGTTGTCCCTTTTCAGCGGTTCTCCTTCTTTCATCTTTAAACAACCATTTGTACCCATCTCCTCTCCAGTTTCACCAGGTAACAGTTACTGGGCACGCATCTTTTATGCCTATTGCTATTTTGCATTTGCGTGCAATTAGCCGTTGTGTGAGACTTATGAGTTATTTTCTTTGCAGAAAACAAAAGCTGGACAAAGAAACAAATCAGGTAGATATCCTTAAACCCTTTATGTGGTTTCTATCGTAAGTGTTGTGTTGCTCTCATATTTTATCTTAATTTTTTTAATCTTCTTACTTTGGCTTCCGTGGACTCTGCTTTTCCATACTTGTTGGTGCAACTCATCCATTTATCCATCATTCCGTTGTCACCCACCTCTCTGCAGTCGTCCTCTGTCAGCAGTGACTTTCAGCATCCCATTTGGCCTGGACAGTGATGTTGACATTGTCATGGGAAACCCAATAGATTCTGTCTTTCGCTCCGTCAGCACTGACAGCCTCGCCACCGCCATCCCGGCAATGACGTCCCCGATGACATCAGCAGGGATGACTCGTGTCCCGTACAGCCCTCCGGAGGATCTCAGCCACCTGGTCAGCGCTTCAGCCCCATCGCAGCGCTCTTCCTGGGGTCCATATGCACACACTGCACAAATGGGAGAGCTGCCGACCATTGAGGAGGCGATGCAGGTCGTCCATAGACCAGGCAGCAAAGACCAGAAGAAGGGAAGGGTACCTGAGAAAGGTGGGAAAGGAGCTTTGGCAGACAGGCCAGAGCCCAGGTTACGTCCTGAAGGAGCTCCAGCAGGTTTCTTTTTGCACTCGCCTGAAGAGGATAATCCCCAGCTCAGCAGCTCTGCTCCGTGTCGCTCCGGAATCCTCTACCGGCCAGTTGGAGGAGAAGTGGGCAGCAATGAAAGGCAAGGAAGGAGAGAAAGCCGGGAGAGGTCAGGACGTTCTGATATGTCACGTGATGACGACTCTGTACTGCGAGATGGCAGCGTCGACTCCTCGGAAGCATCGGACGATATGCCCAGAAACGCCCCGGGTAACATACGACCCAGTAGCGGTCGTCAGGGAAACCACAGCACCAGCAACAGTCCACGCATGACGAGCTTTGCTGAGCGACGAGACAACCGAAGAAGACACCCTGCTGCTACTGGGGAAGAGTCGGCTTCTGCTCAGACTCCAACAACCCCAGCAACTCCAAACACACCCTCCACCCCAGCAGGTGCAGTAGGGTGCCAGGACAGCCCAGGTCCCAGAGGTCCGGAACCTGGCTCTGAGGCCTGGGAACTGGGAGTTCGTCTTGAGGAAAAACGCAAAAGCATCGAAGCTCAAAAAAGACGTATCGAAGCTATTTTTGCCAAGCACAGGCAGCGGCTTGGAAAAACTGCTTTCCTTCAACTGAAAAGAGAGCAAGGAGAAGGAGGAGGTGAGGCAGCGGATGATAATCTGACCCTTGATGAGCGTCTCACTCGCATGGAGGAACAACTGAAACAGGAGGAGGAGAAAGAAAAGCCATCTGTTTCCAATCCTCCGCGGTTAGAGAAACAGGTCACATTCTCTATTGAAAGTAAGAAAGGATCAGAGATAGAAAAAGGAACAGAGAAAGTGGGGGAAGCCGTTTTAGTGGAATACAACGAGGTGGTGCAGAAACTCAGTGAGGCTCTGCAGTCGCTACAGAAGGACATGCAGAAACTTACCGAGCAGCAACAGCAACTCATGAGCAACCAAAGACCCAAAAATATGCTCAGAACAACTCCAAAATCAACAACTAGAAGTAATACCAAAACACCATCCAAAACCCCTCCTCACACTCCAACAAAAACACCACCAAGAACTCCGACAAAAACCCCAACCAGGACTACCAGTAAAGCTTGGGTGATTCCTGCTGGTTCCAATGCTCCATCTGCTTCTTCCCCATCACGCCGGTCTCATCTTGTTTCCTCTTCCACATCACCAAAAACTATTATATCTTCCTCCTGCCCAGCTTCTCGCACTAAGAGTCAGTCCACTCCCCGTAGCCCCAAACACCATCCACGTATCCAACACCAGCCTCACCCACGGCCTTCCGAACTTAAATTCCCTCCGCTCAATCGCGTCTTGACACCAACCCAAACTGTGGACACACTCCCACACCTGCGGCGCGTGTCGCCCAGCAAGTGTCAGGTACAGACCTCTTCTTCCTTCCGTATCGGTGGACCCCGGACTCCCCAGGAGTCTCCCCAGGCTACCCAGCAGCCACAGGCCGCTGAGAGCACCTCGGACACAGGCTCAAGTGAAACACCCACCCAGTTTAGCCTGGAGTTGGAGCAGGAAGACACAGGGGTCATTGGAGGGTTGCCGCAACCCAGGCAAGATCGTCTAAGAGCTGCTGGAGGGAGCAGCTCTGGTGCTCCTTCTGAGTGCTCATTTGAAAGTGAGACTTTGTCCATGTCTGCTGCGTACAGCACAGGAGGTGAAGGAGGAAGAGCCGCGGGTGCGGGAAAGCAATGCAGCCTGATTGAAGTATCATTATCATCTCTTGGGGGACCAGAGGGGGGAAGCGATGAACCAACTGATGAGGGGCAGGAGTTCTCCTCCGATTCCATGAGCGACCACACAGAATCCGCTGTGGAACCTGCAGAACGACTCCCTGCCGAACCTTTGGATCCAATAGAGCGACTAAATTTGGCAATAGAAGACAGCGATGTGCCAAAAGAACAAATTGGATCGAAAGGCGGACATGCAAGAGAGGCGGAGATGTTAGAACCAGGTGAAGAGCAGAACGAAGTGGGAGCCAAAGGAGGAATTGGATTTTTTTTCAAGGTGAGTTCTTGCAAAAGAGAATGGACAAGGAAAAGTGTATTTTGGATGCACATGAATTACATGCTTCTTTGTTTGTAGGACGAGGTTCACAGTGAAGGGGAGATGGCTCAACGTAGAGCGGTACTGTTAGAACGACAGCAGAAGAGAACAGAGGAACTAAAGAAGAGGAGACAGTGGAATGAGCAAGAAAGGGAAATCAGGTAGTGTTTCTATAAATTTGTGAAAGCAACTATACAAAGTAAATCCCCACAGATTTGCTTTTCTTGAATTTGTTGATTAACAAGTCCAAATTTGAGCTGCACGTGTGTAAAATTAGCCTAAATTTGTTTGGTTGGGTTTAGACTAGCATCCTCAGAAAAAAAAGCGGCATCACCTTCCAGCACACCTCCTGCAGCCACGACCTCACCTTCTCCTACACCTCCGGCTACTCCAGCTCGCCGTGGAGATTTTACACGGGGGGAGTACGCATGGCGGCAACAACTCAGACTCATGGAGGACCTGGACAAAGTTCTTAAGCAAAAATCGACTAACCAAGGACGAACTCCCACTAAGAAAAGCCGCTCCCGGCCTCGCAGCATGACCAGAGAGGAAACGCAGCTATCTCTGAGTCCCGCCAAGGGAGCGACTGGTAAAGCCAAAATAGTTTCGAAAAAAGTATTTCTACACTATTTGAATGACTGAAATATTTTTATGTTCTACCATTTGCTTCCCCAGGTACTAAGTTGACCAGAGTCTATTCTCACTCCTCACTCAACCTGGCAGCCACAGACGAACCAGGAAACAATGGTGGTGACCCCACAAAGCGACTCCGCAGGTACACTGCTGCATTGTCAGGTCGCAGCAGCACAAGCATAGCTTAAGAAATTGCAGCATTGGTTAGTTGGCCAGGTGTTTGCATCCGAGTGAAATATCAGAAATTCCAGTGATAAAGTTAGAAAGTCAGAAAAAATAGGATTTGTTTTTGTTCTTATTAACTTAAATATTGATACCTACCTTTGAGTTATTTAACTTACTAACTCAAAATTTTCAGAAAAGAAAATTCTGGTTGTGGATTGCAGATTTATTTATAGTTTTTCAATAATTTAGTTTGTTTCTATCCTCTATGTTCAATACATTGCTCCAATCCATCAGGAAGTAGCCAGCATGCTAGAAAATATACTACCTGTACTTCCTGATGCTGGCAAATCTGTTGACATCAATAATGCAACAATTTGTTGTTTTTTCACGAGCGTCTTATAGGGCAGTTTATCAACACAGCGAGATTTTAAATACAGTATCAACATTCATATTGATACTAACGATATTTGGATCAATCTGCCTACCTCTGCTGTCTATTATGATGTCATAATGCGACCAGGGCACTCTTGGTTTCTCTGCAGCACCCGCCCTGATTCACCTTCAGGTTGTGTAACACCAAGCAGACTGACAAATGGAGAGAAGGACTCGGAGAGTGGTTCAAATGGAACTTCACCTGCCCCAGAATACTCAGGTACAACGTTAAGCAGGTCCAACGCGATCACTCGGTTCCTTTGTACTTGTAAGCAATAGCCAAGTGCTTTCAGCTGTAGTTGGTCTGCAAAAACCAGCGTGTCTGTTTTGTTTTTTTACATTTCAGGTCCAAAACTCTTCAAGGAACCAAGTTTCAAGTCCAATAAATTCATCATTCACAACGCGCTCTCTCGCTGCTGCCTCGCAGGGAAGGTCAACGAGTCTCAAAAAAACAAGATTGTTGAGGTAGAGGACTCATTTTACTTCACTTTTAATCAAGCTCATTGTGAATTCTGCTATTTCTGTAACTGTAGGCGCCATATTTATTAAAATCACCCATAATCCTTCACGTCCTTTTTTGAAGCATAAACATTGTGCTGTTTTTTACATTTTACTTTACTAACACAAACATTTTCATTATGGTGATCTGGTTTTGAAGCCTTAACAAAATAAATCTGCTTTTCATTCACATATAGAGAGTAGAATAACAGAATTATCTCCTGAAGCTGAATATCAGTAGCTCAGTGACTTACTGAGGTTGCTACACTGAGGTGAGAAGAAATGACACTTTATTAATTCTGTTAGTGGTGGCAGGCCATAAATAATGCATTTTAAAGGTAGGAGCGAGGGCCGTGTAAAATCTGACCGATGTCTGTGATCAGCCCCCGGGCCAGACTTTAGACATGCCTGGTGTAGACCATACTCACAGATGCAACATGTGCTTACTGCATCTTTTATTCATGTTTTTCCAACTTCAGGAAATGGAGAAGAGTCCTGCCAACCACTTCCTCATCCTCTTCCGCGATTCCAGCTGCCAGTTTCGAGGCGTTTACACCATGAACCCTGACACCCAGGAGCTTGCGCGATTGGCTGGGGTGGGCCCACGGACGGTTAGCTCCATTCAGGTGGAGTCCATCTACAAATACAGCTCAGACAGGAAGCAGTTTAGTGCCATCCCCTCTAAAACGATGGGCATGAGCGTGGACGCCTTCACCATCCCCAGCCATCTCTGGCAAGGAGGAGGAGCGGGAGGTGGAGGAAGCAGGAGAGCAAGTGTTACTAAGAAGGCTGTCACTTCCAAGTGAGATCCAGTACACACAGTGGCACATGGATGATGAAAACACTCTAAATACACTGTAATTACAGTCAAACTGAAGTGAAACACGAAAAACATACGTGCACACTGACAGGCCTGTAAAAAACACCTTACCTCTGTTGGCCTCAGATTTTACAAGAAATAGAAAAAAAGAAATTGGAGCGATTTGTACTCCCCTTCATGTGCACGAAAGTGTCAACAGCACAACTTTGAGACAGGAGCAGCACACTGACACAGAGGAAGGTTTTGTAATTACTCAAGGATTAGTTACTTTTAAAAAGTCTCCTTACGTACACTTTCATTGTTTGAAAATACAAACATGTTTTTTTCTTTTGAAAGAAAATAGTTGTTTCCTGAAAAACTTCATGAAATTACCGATTGCTAGCCAGTCCTCCCCTTAAGTAAAACACCAGTTTTTTACACAAAGCCAAACGACAGAGAAAATGCCTTCACGTCAGAGTGTCTGACGGGACCTTCGTTGTGTATGACGTTAATTCTACCAGTAACTCTTAGTGGGTGGATAAAGCACATTTGTTTTGCAAGATGAAAGATAGCCATAACCATGTGATACATATAGCAGAGGCGAGCTTTTTCTTTTGGACATCTGTAAATGTGTAGCGGTTCTCAGAGATGATTACCACAGCATGAATGGTTATTTACTGTACGTGGTATAAGCTTATTTCAAAATAAGATCACAGTGGAAACTTGTGGTTTTGATGAAACTATATTGATGGTATGTGAGCATTAGATGCCAATTTAAACAACTTTTGTATACTTGGACTTATCAAATCTTGAGAATGGCGTGTCATAAACAAGCTTATGTCTAGAAATACCTGAATTGTTGTGCTCTTGGGAAGAGATTGATACAGACTGGAGTTCCAAGCGTTGCCATCTTTGTATTCCCTAATGAATCTTTCATTAAAATAAAGAAAGTCTTTCACATTTGTGAAACTAACAATAAACTGGAGACCATTTTGCAACTAGATCACATCAGCTGCCACACATTCTGACACCCAACGCATAAAGAAATGCATAAAGCCTAAATAACAAAAAAATGAAATTGCTTACAAATCGTGGGTTGCATTGCATAAGCTCATCTATAAATTATGCTCTTTGAACTGTGTTGGAAGCAAAATATTTTCTAGGTTGATGTAGACCTTGAACTTCTCAACAGTTCAGAGCCTCTGTCATATTTTCTGTTCTTTTCTATTCTATTCTATTCTTTCTTTATTTTTTGTTTCATAATGTGGCAGGTCTGGACTGCAGGCAGGCCAGCTAAGCCACCTGAACTTCTACCGTGGAGCCATGCTTTATTAATGCAATCGGACCACTCTTTGACTGAGAAACTCTAAGGTCTTTCTTGAAAATGGGGAAAAGGTCTGTATATATCATTCAGCTTTAATGGAGCCCACACAGATGTGTCCCATTTCTTTTGTTTAAAAAAAAAAAAACAACAAAAATTTCCCAGTATTAATTTAAAAATAAACATTTTTTAAACCCCATTTTAAATATTTGATGCTTAATAAAATAAAACAAGTGTAAGGCCGGTGGCCAGACCACACCACACTTCATTTTCCTTGTCCCTCCATAGTTAACACAATTACATGGACATTAGAAGACAGAAACCTGGTCAGTGACTCAGGGAAACGATTGAACACTGCGAGAATGAACATAGCAGAGCAATTTTGCTACATAGCAAAGAAACAACAGTGAAACGCACTATTTGCAAGATGACACCGTTGCTTTAAATATTTACCTGCTGTTCATAATATTAAAGAAGGAACTCGTGTCTTGTTTTATGAGAAGGACAAGTGAATTACCTTTTGCTGGTTTTACACCACACGTGGTCGGTCATATTCAAAGATGGCCAGCAGTCATTTCATTATAATGACACACCTTCTGCAGTAGAAACTTCCCATTGCAGCAAAAAAGGAAAATCTCTATACAGTTGATGAATGTCACAGGGCAGTATGTTTAAGCACCAAAACACCTAAAAAGATTCATTAGGGATTCAAAAGCATTTGTTAAGGTGAAGTCAGAATGGACTGAATGTTACTGAAACGGTTCTCTGCTCTTGGTTGAGTGCACACAGTGAAACTGGTCTCTTTCAAACCAGCATACATGTATGAAATAACAAACTGGATTAAACTCCACTGATCAAACTTTTCATTGTTGTCGTTTCTCACACTTACAGCATGTGACCTCATCTTACTGAGAAGACAAGATCATTTCATATAACTGACCTAAAGTCGCTTATTGGCTCTTTTAGAGCCTCGCTATTGGCTAGGCCAGCCATTAGCAACCTTCAGCTTCAAAAGCGCTGTTGTGGCTCCTTCCAAATGAAGGGAGAAAAAGAGCAGCAATCTCGGGTAACAAGGATGTTACATGTAATTAGGACAGGATAGATTAATGTACATGTATTAATGATACATAGTAAATGTATAAATAGGCTTACGGTTACGGTACAGTGGCTCGTGAGCCGCAGGTTGCCAACCTCAGTGCTTGGCTTTGACGTGGGAATCACCAAACACCCCATGATATGATATTATCACAATACATTGCTAACGATATAATACTATTCTCATTCATTCATAAAATTCTCATTCACTGCTTATTTTCCTCCACAAATATTGACAAAGTTGCTACAGGGCTGCAGGTGCGCTCCAGCCTTGCTTTTTTATAGGTTTTGATCCATTTCTCCTGGTTGCAAGGGAGATGCCGTTCCATGTGAACAGAACCAGAATACATGTGGGAGACCATTTGGGTCGATTCCCCTTCAGTTGTGCTCACTGACAAATGAATAAAAGGAAAATTGAACATTTTAGTCAGTGGAGTCCAGACCATCAGCAACAAAATGAGTCCAACATGAGTTCATGTTTATTTTATTGCATCTTCATCAGAAACAGAATGTATATATATTGTGTATATATACAGCACGTAGCTCGGAGATGCATCAATAGAGGATGTAATTCATTAACATGTCAATTTTATTGCGTTGGTTTGATCAACTGGGATTCTTTGAGATCTTTGGAGCAGTCTTACTGCAGTTGGTTGAAACTGTAGGTCACACTTAAGCAGACGGTTTGCAAAGCAGTGCCACTGCTGGGCTAAAAGCTAAACAGAGAGAACCCACACAGACATGGCTACAGCAACGTGGTTGTGGAGTGATTTTCTAGAGAAAATATGACTAATCAAGATTTTACATGAGGGCAGACTGAACTTCTTAATTTCTACACAGTGCTAAATTACATTAAATATAACAATTTCCTTTACAGATAAACACAGTTTTAACTTTCAGTATTTCTTACCAAGACGTTTACATCCTTGATGGCTGAAACACTGATCTCCTACTCCCTAAAACACACACAAAGCTAAATAGCTGCTTACGTTAACATAATGATAGTGACTTTCTTCTTTACTGATAAAGATGTGGCATATTATTATTATTAGCCGTTACCACTCTTGTTGTATCACCCTTGCTTACAGTACCATGTACTATATGGACATGTATAGAGATTACCAGAAATACACTAACTGGCCACTTCAGTAGTTCCACCTTGTCAGAACCAAGATTGCTCAGAGAGTTTGAGACGTAGCACTGCTCTACAGCAACCCCTAGTGGTGAGAAACACTTCTGACCACTTTAAAGTAACAGAACATACAAAACATTTCTTATTTTTGGTCAAGTTTAGCAGGGAAAGTAATTTTAAAGGTTTTGAAACATTAATCGAAAAACTAAAGGCCAGAGCCAAGGAGTCCAGTTTTACTTTCAACAATCATACTGTTCAGGTATAAATGTTGAAATTTGATTACTCTATAAATTCCCATAACATACTGGTTAAATGTATTGCAAAGGAAAGGTATTTTTGGTAAATATTTGATTGCACAGATCTAAGTTTGGAGCTGACAAATCATATGGCTGCAGTTTTGGGGGTTCTTCTGGGCCAACATACTGGAAAGAAAAGTGAAATACAAAGTCATAATCTGGGAGCTGTTTGTATTATTAGTTAGTGTCTAAGATTGCAAGAAAGATCCCAATGAAAATGCAAAATGAATATGTTGCCACATACATCACGAAAGTGATGAAGAAGTTGAACGCATGAACTTTTAGAAAGTTGCACCCAGGCAGTAAATATTAAGAACTTCAGTGTGAAACTGAGCATTGAGATAATTAAGTCTGGCCTATTAATTCGTTCCAGCATTTCATCTATCAACCAGCACAATAACTCAGATTACTAACCTTCTAACTAATACATAGATTTCACTTAAATCTACGCTGGAGCAGTGGGATAAGATTGGAATGACAAAGTGGAAGTGCACGTGATCAGTGATTCGAGAAGCTGCAGGTGCAAAGCTGCGATAGAACACACAGTTAAACACTCGGTGCCATAAGTAGGGGTATAGTGAGAAAAGGAGGAAAAGGAGAGGAACAGCAGGTCCGTCTGTCACACGCAGACTCAAGCACCTCCACTGTTTGCTTTCTGTTTAGATTACATAGAAATATATCTGGAAAAGCTGCTTGAATCACATCTGACTGCTGCTAATGAGCATCGTTTGGCTCGACCACAGGCTCAGTGTCGGCCGGTGTCTCCTCGGGGCTGGTAGCCACGCTGTTCGACAGAGTGGTGCCAGACTGGGGCTCCAGCGACGGGCTCACAGAGGTGGGATCGGAGGAGTTGGATGCCGGTTCCAGCAGGTTCTGGGTGGACGTTTGGGGATTGCTGAATGCAGCTTGAGCAGGCAGATCAGATGGAGAACTGGGTGGAGTGTTTGATGGGGACAGAGTGGGTGTGTCAGAGGGCATCTGTGAGGTGGAGTTGGACGTGGTGTTTGAGGACAGGTCGGAGGTAGTGAGTGAGGGGGAATCAGAGAGGCTGTCTGGGAGAGGCTCGAAGGGGAAGTCTGTGGGCGAGTTGGTGGGAGTCGGACGGGGTGTGTGCGCAGGTGTCGGCTCGTGTGGATCTGAGCAAACTGGCTCGCCCTCGGCCACGTACCACACCTCGTTGTGCCTGTTCAACAGCTTCAAGGGGCTACGCACAAGAAACGAAGAAGAGACATGAACATAAAAGTTGGAAGTAGGCGACGATGCCTTGTGCAGCAGTACAAGTCCAGATAATACTGTTTAATGAGTGCACAACATGGACTAGAGCAAAAAGAACCACATGATGACACAGTCATGAGCGATTCCCTCAAAGAAAATTAGAAATGAGACATGCGTAGCACCTGTCGTAGCCGACGCCGTAGTGATAGCTGTGGTTGTACAAAGCTCGAACTCTGGTTAGCTCTTTGGTCAGCAGGTGGGCGTGAAGTCTGGAGGTGACCGACAGCATCCAGCCTCCGTAACTCCTCACGTACACGTCCATCTCTGGCATCTCAGTGAAATACAGCTGTGCGATGGATGCAGAGAAGAATCCAGCACAGTGAAATACATGTGGAAAACAAAGTGGAAGGGCAGCAGAGTAGCTTTAGATATATAATAGAAACTCTTACACTTATATACAATTTGATCCTTTTATTTGTGGGATCAACTAGAGAAATTTTGCACGATACACTGTTCAAAATAATTGTTACACTGGGCCTTAAAAAGCCTCCCGTGTCCTCAAGAGCTGTGGAACTAAGACGACCATCTGCTGTCACTGACAGCACACAGAGTCGATAGTTTAAAAATAAACTGCTTGAAACAAGTGTGTTGATCATTGTAACGTTATACACACACTACCTGGAAGCCTTAGTAGGTACACCTTGCTTATACTGCGCCCCAATTCTTTCCAGCACAGAAGTATCCCCCACACATAACCACCACCCTAAACCACTGACACAGGGGGGGATGGATCCATGTGTTCGTGTTTTTTTACAACAAACATCTGAATGTTACAGCAGAAATGGAGACTCATCAGATCAGAGATCAGATCAGTGTCCATTTGTTAGCTGACAGGAATGGCACTTCAGGTGTGGTCTTGTGTTGCTATAGCGCATCTGCTTCAAGATTCAGTGTGACGTACATTCAGAGATGCTCTTCTGAAAACCTTGATTGTAACAAGCGGTTATTTAAGTTACTGTTGCCTTCCTGTCAGCTTAAAGTAGTCTGGCTCACTTAAATTCGGATGCCATCTCTACATGCTTACACGCATGAGTTCCTGCCATGTGATTGGCTGATTCGTCTGTTAAGAATCAGAAAACACAGAGAGCACTGGCGCCTTGCTGACTCAGCACTATGCATTTCTATTCTGCTGAGTGAGAGCAGCAGCAGGGCCAGCCGCACTAAGTACCGCGCACTCGTCAATGATCTCTATTGATCTGAAAGCTGAAAATCACTGATTGAATTACACAGTTACCGGCAGGATAAACAGCGTTTGACCTCAGTAGAGGCAAGGGCAATTCGAGGGCTTACCTTGTCATTAGTGGGTGCTGGAGGGTTGTCCTGATAGGCTGACGGCAGTGGGAAGTTGAGCGTGTAGATAGCAGGCTCCCACATCTTGGTCTTCTCTGGGATCTTGACCAGGACAGGAGCGGTCATGTCCATCTGGACACCTGAATGACCACCGTCATCATCATTCCAAACACTGATGCACTTCATCAAAGCTCAATTTGACCTCCTGTATATCGACTTCTTACCTCCTTCGTTGCTTCCGGTAATATACTGGAAGAGTCTCCTGAAAGCCATGGCCGCACCCACTCCCATGAAATAGGCTTCAGCATCTGTTGACACCCAGCGAGTGGGGCTGTAGTGCCGCACCTGGACACGAACGCGCATAAGCACACGGTATGTGAGAAATACGAGCTTGACGAGTCGGAAACGCGTGTTGCACTGCTGTCTGCTGAGAGCTTTCACTCACTTCATATTCATCCGTTTTGCAGATCAGCTCATATTCCAGACATTCCTTTGACTCTGTGCAGTAGCTGCTGTTGGTACTGGGTCTGCAACAAGAACACTGATAAATTACATTAATTGTCCAGCAGCGCTACGTGGTCAGAAAAAGTCAGGTTCATAAAGAAACTGGGGATGAATTCAGCTGACTTGTGCCTACTATGAAGCTCCATAAACATTCAATGTACAGGGTGGGCCATTTATATGGATACACCATAATAACATTGGAATGGTTGGTAATATTAAAGTCCTGTTTGTGGCACATTAGTATATGTGAGGGGGCAA